TGGGGAATTAGCCCGGGAAAAGTAGCTTTCTACTGTGATACAGATTGGTCATTTGTTTCAGGTGACTTCCTTTCTAGGGGTCAAGAAGAAGGAGAGATTCTCCATTATCTCTGTGTTAGTGTTGACTATAGGCAGCTTAGAAAATGCAGCTGTTAGTGTTATGTTTATTTGTAGTAATCCCGTATACCTTTTACCCTTAGAAATAAAGGTTTTTAAAAGCAAAGAAATCTCTTCTTTCCAATAGAGCAAGATCCATTGATAGTCTAAGTATTAAACACTTTTGACTATTTTACAACAGTATGGGGGGGGGGTGGAGGTATATGTGAATTCCCTGCATTGTGCAGGGGGTTGGACTAGATGACTCTGGAGTTCCCTTCCAATTCTATGATTCTATGATTTTACGCAAAGATATCTCTACAAGTACTTTGGGGGAATTCAGCGCTTTGTGTAGCTCCTTCCCCCGCATCTCTCAAGTGCGAAACAAGTATCGTAGATGGCAAATTATGCAAAACAAGACAAAATTAAGCGAATCTGCTTCATTTTGCATCATTCATACAGATTGTAGGCTTTCTTGGCACAGAATTTCGGAATTTTTTTAACATACAATAGCACAGCCAAAATTGCCTTTTGCATGCCCAGTGATGCAACAGCGGCCACTCTCCTGTGCGGCTGGAACCAGTCCCGTTTCCTTCAGCGCAAGCTGGTGACTCTCCCCACGCCAGTAGAGAACGGTCCAGGAACTGTTTTGCAGGCAGCTCGGCCTGCCCGGTCATACTGCCCCTTTCTCTAGATTTCAAATAATTACAACTCGAGGGCGGGGGTATAAAAAGAAGGACCCACCTCCGCTGAACTACCATCTGCCAATAAATTAAAAAGGAAGGCCAGTCAGAAAAGGAGGGCCGAGGGAACCAGGGGACATGGCTTTATCAGGGCTTCGAAGACAGCATTCCTCAAGCCGGCGTGAACGTCTCAGCGCAAGCGGAGGAAATGCATGCTCGCATGCACGCAAGGAGAAAAAGAAAACCGGGGTCTTGCATTTGGCCAGGGTGAAAGCATCCTTTTGCTAGGCCGAATGCCCCAAGGAGCTCAGAATAAAAACAGAAGAGTAGCCCTTACAACTTCTTTATGTATTCTCTCCCACAGGGATGCCAACGTATGGGTAGGTATATCAAAAAGAGAGCTCACGGGAGGCGACTGTATCAATATATAAACACTCTGTGAATAAATTACGAGCAAAAGCAGAAAGACTGTCTTGTGCAAATCCACTCAAACAGTATAAATTCTTATAGAGTTCAACAAACACCCTTATATATTTTCCCTCTAAGCTGTGGAGTCTTGTGAGCAAAAACTTTACTTTGTGAGCTACTGCCATTAAAGTGGTGAGCGAGCGATTGGGCCACTGCATAAATCAGTCTGCTCTG